GTTCATCAAAGCTTTGGTTAATTAGTTACGTACAAATTACAAACAGTTAATTAATATTGTATTTTTAATAAACAGTAGCATGATTCATGGGAAGCCTAAAGTACTCCCCCCATCCCCACCCGAAGTATTGTCATTCAAAAATTATTTGAATTACAATATGCCGCCTTGTAATTTTTGTATAATGGTGCACTTCAATTTAATTTTAAAAATTAAGATTATTGTGTGATTTACATTTATTTCTTGATAAAATGTTTTAATCTATCTTTCTATTTGCATCCTTACTTATAAGGACAATGATTCGCTTACACTCGACTATACCACACTCCGTTACACACTTTTTTTTTTTTCTGTTAGCTCCCACACTTCGTTAGTCTCCATTACACTCTCACTGTGAGAACCTGATCTAGGTTCTCTCTCTCCTTTCCTTTCTCCTCAAGCTCGTTTGCTCTTTCGAAATTCATAGTAGGTGATTACGATCTAGAACCCAAGATCAAAATTGTCTTCTTCCTTCTTTTCCCTCCTCCTCCTTTCTTTTTCTTCTTCTTTCCCTTTCCTCCCCTCTTCTTCCTTCTCTTCCCCCCTCTTGGAGAACCCAAATTTGGGTTCTCGCATGAAATTGGTGACAAATTCTGAATTTTTTTTTTTTTGGATAGAGACATTATTAATTTTTATTTTTTATATTTTTTTACATCTAAGTGAACTACACAAAGGGTATCTCTCCTCTTTTCCTAAATCCCTCTATATTCAACTCAAGATTCGAACTTGTTTGACTCAAGATTTAAATTTAAAGTCTCCAACTTGAAATTTTAAACCATTGAGCCATTCCATTAGGATTTAATTTTTAAATATTGGTTATTAGACATGAACTGTTTGAAACAAATAAACCAAAAAGAGCTTAAATTTTTTTAATTCTTGCTTGCATATTTTGAATTTTTTCATGACAAGTATATATATATATATATGAGTAAAAATCTATTTATATATAAGTTTTATACTCCACAATTACAAAAAAAATTCAATTATCCATCTCTCCATCTTAAATAATTAAGATTTATTCACATTTATTAAAGATAATTATTTTTTAATCTAAAAATGCATGGTAAATTTTAACTATTGAAAATAGAGAGATGAATTATTGAAATTTTATGTAAATGTGGTGTGTAGGACTTGTACCTAAATGAATCTCTCATTTATATATAAAATATAAATTAAAATAAACCTATATGTGTATAAGAATAAAAAACTATTACATATCTCCATAATTTTGAGTATAAATAATAGTT